TTTTGTATATGATATATTTATTTATGCAGTTTATAATTCCTAATTGAAAATATTAGTAATTTGTCTTTATGAGTCAGCTATGTTCATAACAGACTATAAATGTTTCAATGTATAAATAAGGAAAGGACAAACACTACGATATTAACACTAAATGTGATTAACACGTTTATTGTGTATCCTTTTTTTACTATTCATGGACCTTGCGATAGAAAATTTCAACTAGAACTAACAACGTTCTCTAATATCTATATGTGAGTTACCAGTCTTTTTTATTGAGTCCACAACAACAACTACATATAGGTGTTTTTAAGACATATTTGGTAAATACTAATAACCCTTTAATTATTAAGGTTTAAAATATGTTACTAGAGGTGTTCAAACAAACATTTTATATACAGATAATAGTTGATAGAACGACTTATTTAGTTAACTTTAGACTTTAAACGTAATAGATATACAGTACTTTGATTTAATTGTAATCAACAGTTTTATAATGAAAATATACAGAGCCATACGCATAGTGTTTAATTTCATACAAAATAGACTATTATCCTGAATACTGGATCAGGCTAATCAAACGTACGCCACGCATCCACTTTACATTAAATAATGGCAAAAATATAAAATTGACACACTTCTTTTGACATTTTCTCTCCTTCAAATCTTCAAGATTGTACATTATTATCATACTAAGATAAATTATTGGTTTTGTTAGATACAAAGCAAAATACCAAAATACTTTGTATCTATACAACAAAACAAACATTTTAGTAACAATATTTTTACATGAAATATTTTGAAGTCATATTTTGTACGCTGACTAGTTTTAAAATTCATACAACAATAAATTATTTTGTGTTATCCGAGGTTATGTAAATAGTTTTCCTTTGCAAACATATAGATTTAATTTACTTTCTTGTATTCTTTTGGAAAAATAACCATGTGTCGTTCGGCAATTAATCAATGGAATTTAAAACATATAAGACTACGAAATGTTAAACAAAAAAACTACAATCATTTTCTGCAACTTGTAAGAAAAGTATAAACACGTGACACTGAACTTTTGTAATTTACGAAATTAGATCGCTCTAACTGCCTTTTGTTCCATTATTAATGAACGTTATAGCACATACATTATCCATATAAAAATGTTTCAAGTGAAGTAAGCTATAATAATGATTGTAATAACTTAATCAGTCCGATTAAAAGAATTTATTATTTATTTGTATAATAATATTTATTTATAATAATTAATATTAATAATAATATTAATCAAATTAAAATAATAATTTATAATATTTATTTGTATGTAATGTGACACAAAGTCTATTATGGTCTGAGAAATATTCCTCCGTAAACAAAATATACATTTAAAATTATACCTAAAATCGTTTTTACTGTCTAAGTAATTTCAGTTAGTAAGAGATTTGTGTTTGAAATTTTGCAAAAGAAAGAATGAGGTAAACAAGGAAGTAAATAATTAGTTAACAATAATTGCTAACATATGTTTTGAATTAAAATCAATTGAATATTGACAGATGGTTAATTTAATTTTAAAATGAATCAAAGGTACCAACTGTGTTTGTGTTGCCACTTTAAATCTGTTGTGTAAGTGAACGATTAAAAATCGCAATTCGGACAAAGAGTAATCTTTAGACTTTGTAATCTTTGAAATGAAAAATAAAACATAAGTTAGAATAATATAAGTTTGTAATATAAACCAGTTGGTGGATACGTTACTAGACAAAAACTTAACCAAGGTTAAAACCGTTTGTAGATTTGAGATTAATAAACCCGATATACACATGATTTTTTTTAGTACTTTTGCCCTGTACATTTATGTATTATTATGGCAATAAAACATTCTGATTCTGATTCTGATACTTGTTTCATTGATATATGGTCAAGATTTATTATCATTAAAATACTCAAATATAATAAAGTCAGCAGGTAAAAATTAGTTTATTTACAAATTTACGTTGCAAATACTCCATAATTAATGCTGGTACATTTGCACTGACTGGTCTAGGATATAAGTCAGTGTGTGAGTGTGTGTGAACTGCACATTGCACGGTGGCGGGTGGCGGGATGGTGCAATGGTGTCGCCTGTTTATACCCTAGGCGCTAGGCAATGATCACCTCGATGGCTCGTTGGGGACTTTATCAAAATAGCATCGTCTTAACCTTTAACCCACCCCCTCGCCACCATCTCTATAGCAAACTGTCCATAAAATTTAGTCAATGGGGAGGGGAGGGGTTGAATTCAAGATGGAGACATTTAGTAAACGTTCTCTTCATTGAAACATCAGCCCCTTGTCAATTTCCGGACTCCGAAAATGCCCATTACGGGCAATTTGGGACTTGGAAGGTCGCTTACGGTAGCTTGTTTACCTTTTGTCATTAGAAATCTGACAATGTTTATCGTCACAACGTTTCCAAATATTGTTGAAGGTATGAAATAAATAATTTACGTGATTGCTACTAGAGAGTGACTGTCTCTTTCTGTGGTTTCATTAAAATCCTAAATTTTACCGATCCAACCTTGGGCTATTCCAGCTTCAATGTAAAAACAAAATCCAAATCTATGTAAGAATCAGAAATCACTGCAGACGGAAAGTGCAGTCGGAACGTCCTATCCCGCCCATTGTAATTTGGACATATATTTTTTTAATTTGGTAAAACCTAGTTTAATTATCGGGTGAAGCCAAAGAGTTCTATTGATTTAAAAATGTGTATAAAAAAGGAATGCAAAATTACATGGTAATAATATTCTGTCTCAATCTCAGTTTTTTTTTTTTTTTTTTTTTTTTTTTTTTTTTTTTTTTTTTTTTTTTTTTTGAGTAATGGTAAATACAGTTTCATTTACTAAAAAATATAGGAGGCACGTCTCAGTTTCAAATTCCTGTGCATATGTCGTATGATAATTTAATAGATAACACTAGTGAATTAGGAGGTGAAATTTTCCATTATACTACAGCACCTATAGCATATTGCTTTTCATATTAAGAATGACTTTTCGACCTGACTATATTCTTTTGGGGATACGAAAAGTGAATATACCCCTACAGTTAAACTCTTGCCAAATTTGTGTAAATGAAAAATGGCAAATCATAGGAAAGCTTCGAAATTGATAACTATCCGGCAGTGTTATTCATTATTATGCGCATAATTATTACTATGGATTACTAATATAATTTTCTTTTCTTTAACATTGGCAAGGAGCTCAAATAAACCACCAAGAATAGTTTCTCAAGGTATGAGGCTTATGAACAACTGTTTATAAAAAAAATTTGATTCAGATTAAACCTACGCTCCATTAAGCTCGACAGAGTTTAAGCGATTATAATTTTTAATGATTTACTTGAAATAGAGTGGTTACAGTACTTGCCTCCAATTATAACAAGATTTAACTGTATTAAAGTCATTGTTTGGTTTAAAAATGACATAATTCCCAACATATACGACACTATTGATGGAATATTGAAGAATTATAAAATCTATCTATCGTTAATTTTATCTTGTGTGGTTAGAGTATCTCATAAAGAATACAATATTTGACAATACAACCTTACGATAGGTGAAACCAATTGGTAAATATTGTTGACAAACTCTTTTTAAGCAAATAAGGAAACTACAGTATACATAATACTAAAAAATATGGCATGAAAAATGATTATGGTGTAGTCATTTACTTAATTTCAGCGCCTAGCTTAAATTTAGCCAATCTGATTCAGTATGAAAAGAAAATTCAACCCAACACAATTATTTTACCCTTTTTAAATAACAATCCAAATAAAATGTTTTGGGCTTGTGGTGGACCTACAACAAATAAAATACATTGGTGTAAGTTAGTAAAAGATTTTAACTATGTCATAAGTACTTACCTGAAGAGAAGTAAGAATCCTCGATACAATTAAACTAGGTTAAATTTTGATTAAGGGCCCCTAATTTCAGAGTCACAAATTTTACGAAAAGACCAAAGAGTTTCTACGTATAAAATCGTTCAAACATCCTTACTAGTTCCCAAAACCATCGCATTAAGTAATATTTAACTTAATAAAAACGAAAATTGTAGCCTTAACGGCGACTTTAATAAGTCAATAACTATCAATTAGAACACTAAAATTGAGGTGAGACAGAAGACATGAATGCAGGCAAACCCTAATTTTCCACATTCCTCCTTTCTAAAATGATCAGAAACTGTTTTAAATCACTGCACAAACAAAAAACATAACACGTTCATACAGGATATATTAGAGCTTTAAAATGTGCTATAGAATCTGTAATTTTCTTCTCCCTTATCCCTTTGTGCTCCCCCCATTCTTTGTTTCTCTCACTCTCTCCATTCTCTCTATCTCTCCCAGTCTTAGCTTTAACTCCAACTACAGAGGATTACTGAGTCTAACTTCAATAATAACTCGAGTTAATCCAGGCTTACGGAAGTCCAGAGCTTGTAGCTGGCTGTTTACTGCCAATATTTCCAATTTACAGGGCGTACTTATTCCTAAAGTGGAAGAACACGATGCGAAAATGCAAAAATCAACAAAAGTCGATATAGAATATGATGCTGTGCTAGAAAACAGTAGGCAGCTATGGGTATAGCTGTAAACACAAACTGAAAAATAGATAATCCCAAAACATATAAAATCACACGCATATTTTCATGCATTGAAATTTTCAGAAGCTTTGTTATGCTAAAATTAACTCTTACTGGCGTTTGAATAACTGTAGAGATGTGTTCTAAGACAATTAAAAATATGATTGGTAGATAAATATTAAGAAACTTGAGGATTTACTTGCATATTTATACTAACCAAAACGATCTTTCAAATTTATTCCATGCGTCAATTTATAACAATTTTCTTTCTTTATTTGGCTTACGTTAGAGTTTCTTTAAAAACATAGTAGTCGTGTATGTTATAAAACATAGTGTAGCATACATGATAAAAGAGTATGGTTAAATCAGTAGGGTTGTGTTTAATTACTTACCATAAACGTATCCAATACACGCCATTCCGAAACACAACACACACTGGAACAAAACACAATGATAAGTAAACTTTAATCTTTATACAAGAGAATTTTAACAACAATTTTTAACTTAACTAAAATCATTCATGTTTAGGAAGTTTTCCACTTTTACAGTGAGAACTAATAGTCAAGGTACTACTACATAATATTATACACATACTATTTGTTAGTCTGTAATATGATTTATACAAGTCAGTATGACCATAGATCAAACATACTCTCTTAGTACATTTGTCATTCTTATGGAACAACCGAAGACTATTTTTATTTTAGTTCCCCGGCTCCACCAAGATCGTGTTTTTGTTGAAAATTAAAACATCGTTTAACCAAATAATACCATCTAATCATAAACAATAGCTTGTCTCTTGATTATAACCGAACAACGAAGCGCATAATAAAAAAGACCCTAAAATAATATAAACATAATTTTATTGACACTAGCGCCCAGGATCACCAACCAACGATAAAAAGAACTACCATGTAGTTAATATCGTCGTCACTAACATGATCTAGAGACGAAAACAAGATCCGGATTTTACGCACTTATGTTGGTTAGCTTAGATTTGGTAATACTGACTTAGTAAAATAAATTTCAACAATTAAAAGCAAGATGTATTAGGAATGTCTTTCTACATTAATTAGTACATTTTAAATATTTACGTGGTAGGCCTATTAGTGCCTTATAACTGTTTTTGGCTATATTATGGTCTGAATAATGTAACAACGAAATTAAAACACAAACGGGGTTTTATAATTATTTTACACTAAATCAGACTTTGGCTTCCTTACCAACATGTATAAAATTTGTATTCTTATTTTTACTATGTAAACTACACATATTCTTTGTCCAAAATTACGTTGTGTGAAAAGTGTAAATGTATTTTTCACAAAAAATTTTTAAGTTTTTTGTTTTCTTCCTACTTTTTGCAGTAAAGAATATTTTGATCTGATTTCACATCAATAACTCAATTAAAAATTATTTTTCAAATTGTTGTTCCATAAAAAGTAAATGTCTTACATCGAAATTATATTTTTTACAAAGAGTTAAGGTATTTTTAATAACGTACTTCTCGAAATAAAACTAAACATCCAATTCCTCGGATTTACTATTTAAAATACATGTATTTACGCACGATAGAGGAATGCTACTATTGCAATTTTTAGTACTTATGTGTTATAGGTTTTGTTTCGTTATTTGCTTTGAAAAAGCGTCATCAATAATAAATACGAGTCTCGCCCGGCTCGACGTATTGCGACAGGGTTGCTGGCGTGCGGGGCTTGCGCGCCGTGGCCGTCGGGGGGAGGTTAGTTTTATTGATTCGCGAAAAGGCAAGAAGAGCGCGCTCGGATCTTTTGTGCAGGGTAATGGGGATGGAGGCACCTCCGAGCTTTATGGGCCTTGAAATTGCTCTGCAGAACACTGGTAACTGCCTGCCCATCGAAATCCCATAGCGGCCGTACATGGACAGGCTCAGACCCGTCGGACGTTTTAAATACACTGAGCAAATCAACAATTAATCAGTTGGTAAAATTAAATAGTTTGGTATAAATTACATTTAAAGACTCTGTAGCAAAGAGATATTAGTTTTAATTAAATTCAAAAACTTAATGTTTTTGAAATAATGATTTGTAAATTTTTATTCTCGTAAATGTAGTTTCCTAATACCAATTTAAAACATTTAAATTTCCCATAAGTATCAACCGCAGTTGGAATTAACATTAAATTGTTTACAAGCCACACTCTTATAATAAATTATATTTAAAATTCAGTAAGAGTTTTCTGTGAAAGTAAACTCTATATATATGTAATTTATGGCAAGTACATTTTGGTTCCTGTCGGGTTTCTTCCAGAGGTAACAATTAAATGGTGATAATTTTATAAAATTTAAATTGTAAAACTGTACATTTTTACTTAATTTCCTATTGAATTAACCAATTAAACTTGTTTAAATTGTTTACCAGATAAAACTGTAGTTTGGCAAGAGTTTACGTAAAGAAGAAATATACTGTATAAGTAATGTTATACAGTTTCACTATGTATTATGAATGTGTAATAGAAAGGTGGGGGTTTCTCAAGGGTAAGTGGTATAAGTATTAAAGGAAACTATAAATAATTTTTACATTTTCATAATTGACGTAATCAGTAAAATCAACAATATTTTCGCCGACAGTTTTTTCTTACAAAAATGAATTTGGTTTACAATATATATTTTGAAAGACATGACATTAAGATGCCTCTGGGTGTACTCTTGTTTAGTGCTTCTTTTAGACAGTAATAATCATTACTGATAGCAGCTGTAAACTAGAGGTCGTACCAAGGTCAATTTCTGTCCTCAGTTGCTCACGCGGCCGTCGCTGAGTCTCTGATTAGGCTAATGCAGTCGATCGTGTTAGCGACTCTTATAAATTCACCTTAATACCTCCACTAGAGTCGGTGTTATCTAAATTAGAGCATTTCAGGCATCGTTTACAAGACGGATTCCACCCCGTCCATCCCCATCCCCGTCCCTTCCCGCTATCTCTTCCACTCAATTAAACTTGAGCCTTCGCAGCTCTCGGCTAAATGCTCGCATTTCCTTAATGGGTTCACCAAAGCAAAAAATTAAGCTCGCTTTTAATCCCATCGAAGTTTCTGTAATGTCAGCGGAAACGAGAGATAGGATTTTATTTATTTGGGTAATGAACCTTCGTTGACAAATTGGAATTAAAATATGATACTCAAGTTTGAAGTAGTGCAGCCGATACATTCGTATTTTTGTGGATATCGATATAACCTTTGTTTTCATTTATTTGCGTACATTGTTTTCAGTTTTACATCCATTATTAAAAAATTAACTGCTTAATACCATACCAAAAACGTATAATTAAATAACTGATATTGCTCTGTTTCATTTAAATAGGCTTGCTATAAGTTACCCACTCTGCAAATTGTGTTTTCCTGTTTTATAATTTAAATGTATACACAGACAGTTGTTATGTAAAACAAATGCAATATTACTTTAATACTTTAAAATTATTAAAATAGCTAACCATTTTACAAACGAAAGTGTACAAAGCAATAAATAAACCAATTTACATAGATATCTTAATATATAAAACTATATGCATGTTTGAGTTGAACTATAAAACTATTTTTAAACTATATATTAAATAAGTCAATATATTTCATAACGTAAGACTAAGACGAAGATGTATATTGCGGCAAGATACCGAAAACTACGCTGGAAATGAATATAGAATAATCTGTTGTTAAAGTCACTAGTAGCGATTCAGTTCAAAAATCGGTGGCGGTAGGTCGAGCGGTGTAGCTCCCCTGAGGGTCGTCCCTTGCATTGAGAGTCGTATGACAATGCTCTCCCAGGACCCGGGACAACTTTCTTTGAATATATTATGCCGTATCGCTAGTCTATCCCATCCTACGGCGTGCCCCAAGGGTCCAGCTTAGAACCCTTCATATTTATGCACACTTTAATATTCTTAAGTGAGCTGATTAACGATATCAAAGAGCTCACATTTGAATACAAAACTATTAATTGTTAGGTATTTCGGGATAATACCTAATTTTAAGGTTACCCAAGAAGGTATGGTGTGCATTCGATTGTGCAAAAGACAAATATTGATGATGGATATAATTATAGACTAGCCAAGCGTGGAATAAAACTAAAAATAATTTGGAAATCTTTCAAAACTCTTTGGATTTCAGAATGTAGAGCTATTAAAGTTGCAAAATTTTAGGAATATATTCGATAAAGTTAAACTCCTTGTTACAAAAGTGCTGCTCTAAATCTAAATTAGGACTATATGTACATGAAATTAAAATCTAATAAAATTAATGGGCATTTATTTACCTTAGCTCAAATAAGGTAACAAGTTTATTTTATTATTTTATTTATTAATCTGTGATAAGAGTTCAAAGGAATGAGGTAACGTAAACTGTCTAACACAAATTTGTATTAATATGTTTTGGTTAAAATTTAATATTCCATGCATCTTCGATAAAAACCCGAATTAATTCCTACAGTAAAACCTTTTAAACCAATAGTCGATTCGAAGATAGAGTATCAAACAAAAATGTATTTAATCTTTACTTCTTCTGTTATGTATCTTACAAAAATTTCATACATCCAAACGTATTTGCAAATATTAACAAAATATGAAGTGGGACCATTATGGAGGCTCCGATTATTTCCACTTAAGTATTTCCATTCTAATTTCATCTTTGCAATCAGTCCTGTGTTCAGTCATACCAATAAACAATAATAATCAAATTATCGTGCAAAATGAGCAATAAGGGCGTGAGAAGGTTCCCTGCCTCCCATATCGAAATACAAATACAATTTAACCCATTGAATAGAACCCCCATGGGTCGGATGGCCGGCGGCTAGTGACGGTCAAATATAAGGGTACGTAAGTCCACTGTGGGGAGGGGATTAATCCCCTCGAAACAAAGGGTTAATCCAGCGTCGTCCACTATGGGCTGATAAGGGCGCTATAGTCTGATAATTAAAGTATGACAAACGCTGGCTGCCCTTGTCCGATTTATTGTTATCACTAGGCCCGCAGCCCCCATCCCTTCATTCCCATTTTGATATGGCGGCATGTTCAACTAACAGCCATTTTTATAAGTATATGTGTTTTTTCAGACACAATTAAATAATGTACACATTGATTAGTTTATAAGCTGAATAACATGTTGTATGGGTAACAGTTTCTTTAAACAATACTTTCTAATAGAGTACACGAATCGAATCATGCCGGTAGCGTTGTATTTTCAATTTTTTCTTTGAAGATTATTTTATTTTGCAGCTTAAGTTGGAATTTGAGGTACATATACATTTTTCACTATACAATAAATAAACTGGAATAAGCTTACAGCCTCAATTCAATATTTAAATAACTGTCCAGCCAAAAGGGCGAAATAAACAAATAAATTGCAAATACATAATACAATTGAAACTAAATTTTAATAAAAAAATTTGATAAATAAGTTCTTGAATTGTT